GAATACAAACAATTAACAGGTTATGCTTCTGATTAAGGACCAAATACCATTTTTAATCACGTATAAATTATATACCTTTATAGGTAAAAATGCTTCTAAAGTTTATATTCATTAGTTTTAAGGGGACAATAGGGTAACAATACCATAAAATTCTATTTAATATGCTACAGTATTTCCCCACTTGAAATTGTACATTCTTTAACTTAATTGCCTAATGACAGGTGCAAAATACATAAACAACCAATCAGAATCAAGACTAAATAGAATCAATGCCTTACACACAAAGTAAGTATTTTAAATTGTTATATGCATGACGTACAGTCAAAGCTTGTATCTTAAGGCTTTATGATTCCTCGTTTTTACAGTAATAAAACCAAAGGTTAAGGACCACTTCAACCAGGGCCAGGAAGAGAAAAGGATCCTTAGAGGACAGAAATCTTTGAAAACTTAGGACCACAAAACGGCTTATTGAGAAGCTGACCTTAGAGTGCTTATTTTGCTGATATTTTTAAACATAGCAAGAAATAATCATTAGAAATTAAATTAAAACAATAGAAAGTTTTCTGCTCCTTTGAGCTACTTTCTAATTCAGCCTGAGCAGTTGACTTGGCAACCACCCTAGTTTTGCGAGGCACACCTGCCTTTAAAATGAACGCATCAACTCTTACATGCACTAAATTTTCATCCTTTGATCTCTTATCGCATCGTGTTTCAAAACATCAAAGAATCTAAAGCTGTGTCTTGAATATCAGCCAAACCTCAAAAAACACAGCTCTGAGTTTGATCCTGAGCCCGCAAAATCAGAAGCCTTGCAATCTCAGCCGTAACTCTCTCTTTTTTTAACCTTATAATAATATGCTGAAGTGGTTCTTTTCTGTCAGCAATTTTAAGGCTTAAAGGATTAGATAAAAATTTATGGCTATAAAGTAATGAGATTTTCTTTTTAAACAATCTTGACCCAAATGTCTGTCCCCTAACTAGCCCTTATTCACATACTAGCAGGATCCTCCAATACTTTCCTTACCCCAACGGACCACTTCCCTTTCGATTTCTGAAGGAGAAATGGGTTTGTCACAGATTCCTGAGTCAGTCCCTGCTACCCATTCTAAGCCAACGCCTTGGGGCACCATCACTGCTGTCAGCTCTGGATTTCAAACTCCTGCTTTCAGCTCCTCTCAATGCCTGTCCACTGTCTTGCCTACTGCAACTGGTTATTTTCTCAACACTCTGTTTATCCCAAGTGAAGAAAACAGCCACTTCTCCTACACTCAACATATGCTATTAGTACATAGTTCTTTTACCAAAGGTTTAAGAGTAACAAAGGGTAAGTATAGCACAGTGCAGAAAGAACTTAAATTGAATTCTACTTATCACTCTTATTAAAGGTTCCTCAGGATTCCTGATTATCTTTTTCCTCGAGGCCTTTCCTCTGTCATGGTTCTGGAGCCTTCCCTCTCCCTCACTCCAAACCCTACCCCTAACTCTCTTCTATTTCCTACTCCTCACAAACTTAGCCAAAGAGAGGACATTCCTCAAATTTCTGTTACTTTATTCTACAGAGGGAATGTAAGCTCTTTTCTTTCAGTCTTTTCCTTCCAAACACTGCCTAGGGACCTCACCTTTCACAACTAACAACAGCCCATCTAGGTGTCTTCTAAACAAAAGTTCACTTTTTTTCTCCGTAAGGAATGTTCCATCCTTTTAGGTTATCTGGCAAAAGCTGCCGCCCATCCTGAAAGTAATAGTCTTTCTTTCTTATTATAAAAACATACCAACAATTTTATAGTCAAATGACTACTGAATTCTTCAAAGAAGCCCCAGGAGAGGCTATTCACTTACTGAAATGCTATTATCATTATGCTTGAATTATTTTCTACACAATTTACTAATTCTTTCAGAAAAGTGGCTTACTGCTGTGCCTCAGGACATCCTCCTTTGGTCCAATTCCCTTACCTCTGCTTCTATCTCTCATTCTCATTCCTACATTCATTTATTCATTCAGCCAACCAATGGACATGGCACTGGATGTGGGAAACACAATCCTAGTACTCAAGATACTCTCAGTCCAGAGGGGGCCTGTACCAGTGCTACCTGTGAACCAGCAGATGAGGAGGCTGGGGTTCTACGTGATTAGACTGAGTGCTGAAGTCAGGAAGAATTTTACTAAGCTGTCACTAGCTTATATGGATACTTTAGTCTTGAGAATGAAAGTTGCTGCCTGGGGGTTGATCATTTATGCCTTCAGTCTAAAAAGATATATAACACATTTCTGCAAGTAGGCTAATGATGCTGGTAATGCTGCCTCCTTCCTGAAAATACTGGAGGTATGTAGTTGGTAGAATGCTTAAAACTGAACTGTCGTAAATTTTAACCATTTTTCATTCATTCATTCAACCAAGAAGTATTTATAGTATTTATTTTCTTTGTGCTTGAGGAGAAGGATAGCTTCATCTACTGAATATCACATTCATTGATAACTATGTTTTGGGTACTGTGTTACATCAATTGAATGAACAAAGTCAAGAACTGTCTGGTCAATTATACCTCAATAAGCCTGAAAAAAAAAAGAACTATCTGCTATTATCACAGTAACAGATCTTCAAAATGAGAGTTTTGAGTCAACAGTAAAAAATTATTATAGCTAGTATATTATTTTGGAGAAGAGGCAAGGATATAATGCATTTTATAAAGAAAATTTAATCCACAAAAGTAATCTATTTAACTCTTTGCATTTGAAGAGTTAATCTTTAGCTGGAAAATTCAAATATTCAGAAAGACATTTCTTTTCTCCAGGGATTCCAGAGAGTAAAAGTTTACTCTATTTGGTAACATATAAGCCAATTTTTAGGCAATTGAATGTCAATCTCAAAATAACTTTTAAGTAAACTTCTTCTCTAAATTTATTTATTTTCAGTATACCAAGTAAAATAAGGGAAACTTGCCTAAGTGTTTCTTAGTGTTCCACTTTTGTTATCTAAGACAACGCTGAACAAAGTCGTGAAGTACTCAGAGTTTTTCTTTGGTGTACTCTTATCTCCCTAATTCTTGGAGAGCAATTTGAACCTATGTTATTCTGTGGCTCCTGAAGGCTTCTCCAGATCACTTGACAACATCTTATCCCCGACTCATTCTTCAAAACATAACTATCCTTGGTCATATTCCTTCCAGCATCCAACTGCAAATTGGGCTAATCTCATAAACTAATTCAAACTAACATATTCATTAATGGTGATAATAGCTTAATACATTGCTGCGTTCAGGGAAATGTGCAAAAAAATAGAAGATGTATAAAAATATAATGCTGTAATCCAAGAGCAGGGGTTGTTTTCCCATTTATGGTCACTGGCTAACTAAATCTCAAACTAAAATAATAAAAACCAAACAAATGTCAAGAGTTATACGAAAATAAACCAGCTTAAATTTAACTTTAGTTTGAGAAGGAGAGGAAATGAAACCACACTACCTTGCATTTCTATATAGTTTGCACATGTATGTAGTATTCTTTCATAAGTATATATATTTTATTTACTTTAATATTTAAAACAATGCTGTAAAGTTTATATTACTTCTATTTTTTAGATGAGAAAATTTAGTCTCAAAGAAGTTATGTTACTGATCACTGAATGGTAGAGCATGGACTCTAAACAATTCTAATTCCAAGTCAAGTGTTTTTCTACTATGCACAGCTTCTACAAACGTTCATAGTATCTCATTTTAAACTAAGTAAAAGAAACACAAAAGTATATAAACATAACGACAAAGCTACGCTTTAATTCCACATATGGCCAGTTTAAAAGGGAAATGGGGAGTAAAATGGGGAGGGAGAGTAGGCAGGCCAGGCAGGAGGAAAAAGCAAGAAAAAAGATTACTGGGCAGAAAATGTCAGATAGAGAAATAAATAAGGGAAGGAAAGAAAGCAAAAGACAGGTGTATCCAAGGAAGGATGAGTTGAAGTCTGGGCCCTTTGGAGTCCTCACTCACTGCTGCTTCCAGCCAACAAACCTGGCTTCACATCTCCAGAGGAGTCTTTCTCTGCATTCTTCCTCCTCGGCTCAAGTCAGCCAAAAATGTTCCCCCATCTAAGATGTCTAGAGAGCTGTGGACTAGTATTTAGACAGATCCCCAGAGCCCTGACCTTAGCTTGGTCTAATCACTGTAATCATTGTATTTTCCTTTCATTTCCTTAGTTACAGAACTAAAGCAATTCACTTTAGAAATCTGCATCACCCTCTCTCTCAGAGAATTAATGGAGACTCAAGCGCTGACCTGATGGTATCAAAAGCCTGATAGTGGGAACAAAACAGTAAAGAAATCAAAGCCAAGACTTTCATCACTGAAATAGCCACTGCCCAAACTTGCCTTATATATACACTTTTTACTCAAAAATCACTGCTCTAAGTTAGATATACCATAGATAATAAAACGCCTACACATATTCACCACTTATGTTTCTAGGATTTTATTTACTTAATTTATGATTTAGGTAAATTAAGTATAATTGCTTTCACAATGAGATAAATATCCTATATTACTAGTATTTAACAAACTTTTTAAATCATTGGTGTAATATTTTAATTAAAACAACAGCCTTGGGAGACACTGAGTGTGAATCCCAGCTTAGGCTCTTAGTAACTGAGTGACTTTGGGCAAATTACTTAATATCTTTGAACTTCATCCATGAAACGGGGTTAATAATATAGTACCAACCACACAGGTTGTTTTAAGAATTAAATGAGTTGAGTACTTGCCACTGAACAACATGTAGTTAGCATTCAACAAATATTATCTATTATTATTATTAGTCACTAACTTTGCTACCTAGCTGCACAAAACTTACAGTACACCTTTCTGCTTTTCTAAAAAAAGATTAAAGTGATTTTAGACGTTTTAGAAAAAACTGGGTTTTTAAATAATAAATAGTAATAAAAAATTAAAGTCAAATATTTATAGTAACATATATTAAAATTGCAAAGCAGAGATGTCTTCCTTTGACAGTTTACCTCGAAGTCTATCAGCTGTAGGTCAGCTATCAGTGTCACCAGCAGCCCACTATTGTAGAGCTCTTGTGCCAGCTGAGCCACAACTTCAGTTGGGGGTTCCTTGTCATTTGTACCACACAGAATTTCTTTCATTGCTTGCAGCGATTTTGAGACTTCTTCTGAGGCCTAGTGACCAAAAAGAATGCTAATAGTTAAGAGTAATAAAAATTTTCAGGCTATAAACAAACAAAAACCATTTCTTGGGCCCTGTTTATTATAATCAAAGAACACTGTATAGTTACAAACAAACAAAACATTTAGTAGGGATTACTTTTTTCTTATTTTGGAAAATGTTACTAAAATTTATTTATACGAAAAAGATCTCTAGTATTTCTACTTAGTCAACATAACTGAAACAATCTTCCTTTAAACCATATTCAGACACAGTCAACTTTGCTAGTAAGTAATTATAAATTTTACTCTTCAAAATTAAACTGACTCCATTTTGGAGACTTAGTAGCTACTGGTCTTTATTTAAAGCATTTGTTAAGGTTTTTCAACAAAACCCTATTCTTCTGATTTTTCACTGGACTAGGTATAAAATCATAAGTTGTCAAAACCCATACACTTTGTCAATCCACTTACCCCTCACACATAACCATTATCTTTTTTGCTGTCTATGAAACTTTAAGAAATGGTCATTGTTGTACAACCCTGTGAGTATATTAATAACTACCGAATTCTATACTCTAAAATGATGGATTATATGATATGTGAATTACACTCAATAAAAATTTTTTAAAAAATTAATACAGGTAAGGAAAGGAGAACAGGCCAATTAGTTAACAATTTGATTTGCTGAATATCTTTAAAGAAATAACGGTTTTATTGCATTCAAGTAAAGTACTCTAATCACTATAACTGAAGAAGGGAATAAGGAGCATAAGGCAAAATAAAAATAATTCGTAGTAGTGTGACAGTACTTAAAAAAATAATTTCCAGATACATTTTATGATCCAACTGAAGCAAACCTTAATTTATTAAAGATTGGAAATTTCTTAAATTGTAACAGATAGCCACAGAAGAGTACTTTAAACATATATAGATAATTATAAAGAAAACACCTGTGTGACCATAACACAGGTCAAGAAACAACATTTTCAGGGGCCAGCCCAGTGGCGCAGCAGTTAATTGGGCATGCTCCGCTTTGGCAGCCTGGGGTTCCCCGGTTCAGATCCTGGGTGCAGACATGGCACGGCTTGGCAAGCCATGCTGTGGTAGGCATCCCACATATAAAGTAGAGGAAGATGGGCACGGATGTTAGCTCAGGGCCAGTCTTCCTCAGCAAAAAGAGGAGGATTGGCAGCAGATGTTAGCTCAGGGCTAATCTTCCTCAAAAAAAAATAAAAAAAAAAGAAACAACATTTTTGGCACCCCAGAAGAAACCTGAATGTCCCTTTTTTAGGCCAGAAGTAAATACTTTTAAGTCTTTGATGACAATCATTTATTGACTTTTATTTATAGTTTTCTCACCTATACTTGCATCTCCAAACAATACAGCTTAGGTCTGCTGATTTGGAATGGTAGCCATACCCTTTTATGATTTGCCTCGTTCACTCAATACTATACTCGTCCATGCTGCTGCATGTAGGCAGCAGTTCTCTAATTTTCATTGCTCTGTTGAATTCCATTGATCGCTGGACCACAACTTCTTTATCAGTTCTACTGTTGATGGACATTTGGGTTGTTTCCATTGAGGGAATGTTATGAACAACAATGCTGTGAACATTCTTGTACGTGCATCCTGGTGCACACATGCAACAACATCTCCAGAGTTTATCCCCAGGGGTGGAACTGCAGGGTTTTAGAACATGCATATCTTCTGAGTTCAGGTAATACACCAAACTGGTTTCCAAACACCAATTTATATTTTATCACTCAGTGGATGAAAGTTCTTATTGCTTTCCATACTCGTCAACACTTAATACTATCAGACATTTTTCCTTTTTGCCAAGATAGTACATGTGTAATATGAATTTACTGTGATTTTAATTGGCCTTTTCCTGATTACTAAGGAAAATGAGTATCTCGTTATGTTTTTTTTCCCCATTTTTCTCTTTTGTTGTTTAGATTTACTTTTATTTCTACCTGGGCCACTATTTGGTTCAATTTTGTAAAGTACACTAGAGTTAACAAAATATTTCTACATCCTTACAAGAATACAAGATTGTATCATACACTGGGACAGAAAGATACTATGAACTCAAGGATGTTAATTTTATGGGTATCTTGAATCTTGCCATAAACTAGCCAGTTTAGAGAGAAATAGAATATGTAGGATTCAACATCCCTTCGAAGGAATAACTAAAACACTAAAACCCCTTCCTATGAGGAAGGCTTGCTTGGCGTGATCTTAAAATAATGTTAAAATGAAGTTGCCCTGTAGTAAGTAAGAACTATCAGTTGATCTTTTTTTTTTTTTTAAAGATTTTATTATTTTTTTCCCTTTTCTCCCCAAAGCCTCCCAGTACATAGTTGTATATTCTTTCTTGTGGGTCCTCCTAGTTGTGGCATGTGGGACACTGCCTCAGCGTAGTTTGATGAGCAGTAGCATGTCCGTGCCCAGGATTCAAACCAACGAAACACTGGGCCGCCTGTAGCCGAGCGTGCGAACTTAACCACTCAGCCACGGGGCCAGCCCCTCAGTTGATCTTTAAATAAAAACTTTTTACCCTTCATGTCAGTATAACATTATATACCAGTATAATCCCTTTGATTTTTAAGCTCCATAGTCTAAAGGGATCCAAAGTTGGTCAGAGGCTCCAGATTGTGAACCAAGAGTTCAAGACAACAGGATCAACAATTATCAGTTGCATAAAATCTGCAATTAATACAAATGTATTTACAGAAACTCTATGTGTGCATAACAGATCATATCTAGGATTCTTCATTAAGCTTTTATGCTGGTTTTTGGTCTTGGAATACATTTATTTTAATAATAATGCTATTGGTTTAGCTCATACCTTGTCTGTCTTTTTGTCTTGCTTTTCCAAAATGACCATGTTGTCTTTCAGATTTTTCACAATTTCCGCTGGATTTCTGTGTGATTTACTAAACAAAGGCATTTTTTCATCTACAGCAATCTCTTCTTCCAATAAGAAATGCTAAAAACAAACAAGCAAACAAAAATCATGAATTTACCTCTTAACATGATTAAATTGTTACATCAAAATGCTTTATGTTCTCAATAACCTCAATTCAGTAATCTGAAACATTAAAATCAATCAAACTAAAATAAGTTTCACAAACTTTATGCCAAATTTAAATACATATAAAATGTTTTATGAAAGATTATTTAAAAAGCTTTACCTAAAAGGTTTTTTTAAGTATGCTTTTTTTTTTGGTGAGGAAGATTGGCCCTGAGCTAACATCTGTTGCCAATCTTCCTCTTTTTTTTTCTTTTTTCTCCCCAAAGCCCCAGTACACAGTTGTATATCCTAGTCACAGGTCATTCTAGTTCTTCTATGTGGGATGCCACCACAGCATGGCTTGATGAGCATTGTGTAGGTCTGCACCCAGGATCTGAACTCGTGAACCCAGAGCCAGCAAAGCAGAGCGCGTGAACTTAACCACTTGACCACAGGGCCAACCCCTAAAAGTTTTTACTGAAAGTTTAAAATCTTTCCTACAATAGAAATTCAAAGACTAAGCAAGAATGGGGAAAGGAGTACTTTTAGAAAATAAGCTGATATTTAAAACTAGATATTTTGACTAAAGAGAGTGATGATGATAATGATAACAGACAAAATAAAACATGTAAAATAAAAGCGGAATTAGGACCCACATACTGTGGTAAAACAATATTTAAAAGCATGCTACTTCACAGCAATCACAAAATTGCAATGTAAAATTATTTAGAATCTGTTCTCTACTTGCTCTTCAAATATTCAGCTAGCCACACTCACTGATGAAATGAAGACTACCAGGGTGGAGAATGAGGAGGGAGGGGAAAAGGAGTATCGATTCTTGTTTTTGAGAACACTATTTACATAGAGTAGAGAAAGCCAAATATGGCCGTCATTGCCCTATTTATACAAAAAATACAAGCATTAGAGAAAAAAACCTTACAACTGAAGGCTCCAGTTAGTAGAGGTATATTCATTTACTTTACATTTATTAGCAAAAATATTTCAAACATTACAGAAATATGATGTAATACATCAAAGGGGCCCATTAACCAACCACCCAGAGATGACAACTATTATCAATTTGGTATAGAGTCCTCCCCAATTTTTTCTAGGCAAATAAAAGTAAATATATTTTAAGACAAAAATAGAATGATACTAAACATAGTATTTTGCAACTTCTTCCCACTCTTTGTATCTTGAATATCATTCTATGAGTGTATGTTTAGTTCTACTACAATATTTTTACAGTAATAATAAAGTATTCCATTATATAGATACATTATATAATTATTATTGTTCAGTAATTTCTTATTAAATTATTATAAAAGTTATTTTACCAATATCCTATTGATGGGCTTTTGGGTTAATTTCATTTTCCCCAATATTTTATTTATTAACAATGATGCAATTAATCAACAAAGAATCTTACACACAAATGTGTATACACAAACACACACAGTTGATAGCAGGATTCTAACCAGCTGTTGCTGTGGCATAACCTTGGCTATGGTTCCAAATCCCTCTTCCCCCTAGATTCTACTTCCCAAATAGGGTTCCCTAGGATTCCTGTCAGATCTGAGTTACCTTGTATCCTTCTAATAACTTCCTTCAGTATTTGTTGTCTGTGATCAAGAATTCCAATGGGATACATATATGTTATGAAGAAGAAATCAAAAGTGTTGGTGTGAATTTTGATGATAAAACAGAAGACAAAAAACATTTTCTGTTTTCCGTAGAGATGCTGTTTTCAATAGGGATGGCTCAACTCCCCAGTGAGGGGAGGCTAGGTGTGAGGGGAACATGTCCACTCTCAGGGCACGGATAAGTCTGAAAAGCATGTTAAGGGACACCAGTCAGCCTTTAAAACTGATGCTGACAGAGCATTCAAAGGTGAAGTATGTGAAGATAACACTGTGGTTCTCAGTGGGCGGTGTCAGGTGCAAAAAAGAGAGCATTGGAAGAACACTGTGTCTCGTCCCTTTATCAAACTCAAGAATAAAATCATAAAGATGCACTAGGTTCTTCTTTAATAATCAGTCCTAAACATAAATAAATAAAGGTAGAGTATATTTAAATGTTTATAGAGTGTGGAGGTGGGGTGGGAGCCAAAACAATCACTGGGTCATTAGGCAGAGGAGCAATCTGTTGCTTTCTCCCCGGGTGATCCTGGGCACAGCATGTGATTTCTCTAAGGCTCTGTGCTCTTATCCGTAAATGGGGATGATAACATCTCCCTCTTAGGGTTGTTTTGAGGACTAGAGATATGCAGAGCACCTTGCACAGGGCCTTGTATAGGTAAGGTACCCTATGTTTAGGTGCTATTATTACAAAAAGTTCTGCAACAGAGTTAATGAATTACTTCACTAAACAGAAAGGCACAGTAATTGAGATATGATTTTGTCTTAAGTGTCCTAGACACTTCTGGCTCCTTAGTCACTTACACATTTTTTCTTTCTTGAAAAATAAATTTATTCTTTGAATGTTAACTACTCAATGTTCGAATATTTAGCATTAAAACAGTTTTTTTAAAAAAGGCTAAATGTATTTGGGTAATTATTCTCTTTCTCCATGTAGTTCTACTTCACTAAGGAAAAGATAGTCCACTGTAGGAATTTCACCTAAATACTCCCTGACATTAAAATAGAATACGAATTATGACATGGAATCATATATATGATATGACATGATTTTTGTCCACTACCTATTGTTTTGCTCAGTTCTTACTGTATCAAGCTAATTCTAATGCCAATTTTGCTGAAATTATAAATGTTTTCAGGACTTCCATGTTAACATGGTTGTTAGCCAGCATTTCCTGATTTACTGCCTCCCAATTTTTCATTTGCCTATTAGTTTGTTCATTTATTCATTCACTTAATCATTGAACAAACATTCACTTAGTACTTACGGAGTACTAAGCACAAGCACCTTGCTAAGTACTATGAAAAAGAAAAACACAATCCCTGCTCTTTGGAGATTATTATTAAGTGGAGAAAGCAAACATTTTAGAGGCAATAAAATTATATAACAGAGGGAGATAACACACAATATATATAATGCCTCAATACAGTGCTCCTTTTTTTTTGAGGAAGACTAGTCCTGAGCTATTATCTGCCATCAATCCTCCTCTTTTTGCTGAGGAAGATGGGCCCTGAGCTAACATCTGTGCCTATCTTCCTCTATTTTATATGTAGGATACCTGCCACAGAATGGCTTGCCAAGCGGGTCCACACCCGGGACCTGAACTGGCAAACCCCAGGCTGCCAAAGTGGAACTTGTGAACTTAACTGCTGTGCCACCGGGCTGGCCCCAGCAGCATTCCTTTTTGTGAATTATTTTCATATTTTAACTGTGCCTATTTACTGTAATAACTATAATATAAAATTAGTTTAATAATGTTTTAAAATTTCATAGGATCATTATTCTTCAATTCTGGGATCCATATTTTGAAGGAAATCAAAAACCATATTCTCACACTATGCAGTTCCAGACCCCAGATCCCCTACAAATTAGGTGAACTTCTCCTGCCTGCTCTGTTCTCCTCAGACCAAGCCAGCCCCACTTCACCCCCAGACTCAATACTTCCCTCCATCACCCTCAAACTCAGGGCTGACCTTCCTACTCTCTGGTCACTCATGCGCATCCACTCCAATCACATCATTTACCCCACCAGTCATTTAAGAAATGAGCCAAATAGGACTCCACACTACCTGCTAAACAACCACAGGTACTTAAGCTCCCATCTAGTTCTGAGTTGGTAACTGATCCACTATAAGTCAAACTTATCACCCTTGTCTGGGTGTCATTTGTTCTATGTGCAGAACTTTTTTTTTTTAACTTAACTAAATAACTGTCAATTCATCTAGTCATATTTAACTCATAGTCTCATTTCACTCATGAAGATATCAAGAAAAATTTTGCCAAACGCTTTGGGAAAGCCCAGATACATTATACTTATTTGTCAATACCAATTTATTCTTTTTTACATCCCCATGACATATTTATTTTATAACAGGAAGTTTATACCTTTTGACTCCCTTCTACTTATTTCATCCACCCCCTACCACCCCACCTCTGGCAACCACCAATCTGTTCTCTTATCTATGAGCTTATTTATTTATTTTTCTTAGATTCCACATATAAGTGAGATCATATGGTATTTGTCTTTCTCTGTCTGGCTTATTTCATTTAGCATAGTGCCTTCAAGGTCCATACATGTTATCGCAAATGGCAAGATTTCATTCTTTTTATGATTGAATAATATTCCATTGTGTATATAACACATCTTCTTTATTCATCCACCCATTGATGGACACTTAGATTATTTCCATATCTTGGCATTGTAAATAATGCTGCAATGAACATGGGGGTGTATATATCTTTTCAAAGCAGTGTTTTCGTTATCTTCAGATAAATACCCAGAAGTGAAATTGCTGGGTCATATGGGATTTGTAAAATTTTGAGGAAGCTCCATACTGTAAGGGGAGGGTCTTAAAGATTAAGAGCATCATATTTTGAAATTAGATAGGCCATATACAGTGAGCTCTAGGTTATTCGTGACTGGTCCATACCCATTCTGAGTCTTTCACTCCTAGTATCCAACATTGGCCAAAGATAAAGTGCTTACAGTAGAGACAAAAAGGAATGGAGGAATCCTGAAAATGGTGCCTTCTGGGGATAAAGTGGTCATAATAATTTTTCCATAAAGGCCCTCTCAGAGTTTTTAGAACATATATCATGTTCCAGCAAAGCAGGAAGCAGAGACAGGAGAAGATGCCACGTTAAGCCCAACAGATGAATGCCTCTTGGGCACTGAAAACTGCTGGGGCCCAGCACACCAATCTGCTCTTTAGCATTCGTCTGACAGCAGGCCATGTAGCACACAAACGGCAATGCACTGACATTGACCCTGTCATACTTTTCCACTTTCAAAAGAGAGTAAATAGAATAAACAACAAATAGTGTAGGTTTTATTTAAA